CCACATTTTAAAAAGGAAGAAAAAAATCAGATGAAACCTTCTAAAGGGATAGATTTTTTTTGTCTTTTTAAAAGTTTTTTTTCTTTATATATTTGGTACAGGGTCTCGCTATGCAGCTCAGACTCATAGTGATCCTCCTGTTTTCAGCCTCCCAGCACTGGGATTAAAGGCGTACACCACCATGCCCTATCTTGGTGGCCAGCTTGGTCCACCCAGGGTGGGGCCAGCATGGCATGTGATACCACGGATCAAACCCAGGTCCTTGAGCTTGCCAGGCAGGTGCTTAGACTGCTGAGCTGTCTCCATGGCCCTGTTTGTCTTTTTGAGACAGGATCTGACTATGTAGTTTGGGCTAGGCTTAAACTCCTATGTAGCCCATGCTGCCTCAACAGTGGGTATCAGTCAATCAGTTATCTGGTCACTTCACCGGTCATGGGTGGGTCCAAAGCAGTGGTACAAAAATCTCACCTTCCTTACACGCATTTTTGGCTTCATTTCTGGTCTTGGTGCTTTGGGCACAGCCCACAGCTCTACCTTTGTGTTTCTGTTATTCTTCTCTACTCATCTTACTCAACTTTTGTAATAGTGTTGCTCAGTGTAAGATAAGGCTGGATGTGGCAATGATTGCTTTCTGAACGGAAGGTCAGCCATCTGCAGCTCCAAGTCACATTAATTCTGCATGCATATGAGATTCTGTGGCAATTGCCTGTTGTCCTGGTTGGGAACTTGGAAGAGGTGCTAAAGGGTTTGCCATTAACACGGGGTTCCTGCCATCCCCCAGTATAGCCAACTACCCTTTTGCCCCCACCACCACCCCCTCAGTGCAGTATGGTGGCTCCAGCCTGGGCTACCTGGAGCATGTGCTGGTGATGGAGGAGATATCGCGAGTTTCTGGAGCTGTAGGACTCAGCTACGGCGCCCACTCCAACCTCTGCATCAACCAGATCGTGCGCAATGGAAATGAGGTCCAGAAGGAAAAATACCTGCCCAAGGTGAGGTAATGGGTCCAGAGTTGCTTTTTTTTTTTTTTTTTTTTTTTTTTTTTTTTTTTTT